TTATTTTGTGTGTATGAGTGTTTTGCCTGAATGTGGGTCTATGCACTATTTCATGCAATGCTCATGGAGGCCAGATAAGGGCATAGGATCTCCTGGAATAGGAGTTTTAGATGATTAGGTGGACGTTGGGGTCTGAACCCAAGTCCTCTGTAAGAGAAGCCAGTGCTCTTAACTGCTAAGCCATCTCTCCAGCTCCAGGACTATAGCATCTTATGATATCCTCCCTGTGGCCCTCAGACCTCTGGAGACAAGGAAATGGTACTACAATAATGACTTTTAATGCCGTGGAAGTCCTGGTAGAGGTCAGGTTGTCGCCGAGAAGAATCATGGTCCAGGAAACTGCATACTCTCAAGCTTCGCTTTTATACATTGTGTTCATTTAAATCTCATTGGGCTTTACATTTAGTAGAAGGGGTCATGGCTGTTATTTATTCTGGGAAATTCTGTAAGTCAATAACTTAGATATTCTGTAAGTCAATAACTTAGAAACTTGAACCTGGGGTTCAGAGGGGACTGGGAGTAAAAGGGTATCTTGTGGTCAGAAGTTTGGAGCACAGTTCCTCTGTCCAATCTCACAATCTCAGAGGCTTAGAATGCCGCTTGATCCGAAGAGAGGATCCCTTAGTCACACAATGGGGAAAACAAATCAAACTCTGGTTATTGCTTTGCCTGCTTCATTGTATCATTTATGATTAGGAAAGGTGCGTTCTGTGTTATATAGACCCTTTTAATTTGATCCATCAATTACTATTACTACGCTTCCCTTTGCTAGTTAAAGTTGCTTCTTCAAATATAAAGGCAGTAAAGTACTGGCCTCAGCAGCAGGTTATTGGAGGGAAAAATAGGATTGGTTGTACTTGGGCTCAATCTCAGTGATCTTGTCTTAACAGTTTCACTCTGATGAGAGGTAATAGTTAGCCTTATTTGTGAATATAAGATAAGGTTTAGCATACAGTGGAATTATGTTCAGCCGAGCATCTTTTCATTTGAAAAGATGAAATAGACAAGGAGAAAGCAAATACTTCTGTTTATGGCAGTAGCTCTATTTAAATGTGTTTCTGATGTTAATGCTAAAATGTGTAAAATAGAATATAAAAGTCTTTGTTAATTCCATTTGCCCCAAAGAACTACCATTTGGAATTCTTTATGTAGATTCTTTTCCTCTCAAAATGTAATATACATTATTTTTAGACAGATTGAAAGTAGACAAGTAAAACAATCTACTCATGATGCTATCACATTACACTACAATTTTGCTTGGTATTATTATCTTCTTCTTTTCTAGAGCTGTATTTTTCATTCCTGTGTGTATTAGGATATATACACTGTTGTACAGTGGCTTACATTTCACACTATAAGTGTTTTTCTAGCCATCTTTCTGAGCCTGTATAATATGTATGATGGTGTATTGGCAAGTTATTCTTTTATTGCTTGTTTTTCCTTTTTATTAAGGCTGTCACAAATACTTTTATGTTCACGCTTTGTTTAAATGTTTTATATGAGCCTCTTAAATACAAGAAATAAACTCTACCTCATGCTCACTGATGCGCCCTACAGCCAGCATCAGTGTTGGGTACATGGCACACACTGCGCAAACTTTTATTAAATGGACAGAAATCATTAGGTTATATGGCATAAATAATTGTCTTTGACATTTTAATCTTCCCAAAGTTTATTTTGAATTTGATAGATATATTTGTGAATGTTTCATTTAATTATAGGAAAAATTCAGAAAGGCAGAAAATCTGAGGTCGGGGTTGGATTCTCAAATCAGATTGTTTGGTAGCTACTTAGGAAGTAGAAGGCTTGGAGAACTTTGGGACTGAACCCTTATGTGGTAATCTACAGCATGTAAATCCAATGACAAAATGCAGGACTCTAATTGCTGATCCAAAGAATAGGATCCACGGCTTCTGTGGCCCTAGAGGGAGATGTTAAATTCTAAACTGCCAAGGTAAATAAGAGATAACTATTTAAATCTGGTGACAGAACCCTTAAGCATTACAAGATCACTACTGTATAGCAAGAGTATTACTGAGAGAGAATAAGAACACAACATAGCCTCCTCCTAGAAGGATCAAGCTAACCACTATGGCTATAGCCCTAGTCAACACCTTCATTGTGGCGCTGTGGCCTCCTGAGCCATAGCAGCCAATTAAGGTATACACGGATTTCTGACTCCCAGGAACTGGGGGATAATGAATGTTCTTTTAAGCCATTAAGTTTTGGGGTAATTTGTTATGCAGTGATAGATAACAAACAAGACTATTAAAATTCCTGGGCTTTTGCTTTATGTTTGGAAGATAACAGGGACGCTGTGCCCGTCTCTGTCACTAGGCAAGCAGCTATGGTTGCTTAGTCTTTAATGGGACTGATTTCCATGAAACACTGCTTAATACAAAGGGAAAACAGAGTTTTACCTCTTATATTTTATGAATGCAATATTTTGACGCTTTGTTTAGAGGTTATTTTGTCTAAAGCCTTCATCTGTCTGATGTTGAAGCTGTCATTTTAACTGGTCCAAGGAAGGCTGTCAGATTTAGCAAATGGAAAAACAAAGTGTTCTGAGGAGGCACGGCTCAGCAGTTAGCCGCCCTTCTCGAGTACTTGGGTGTGGTTCCTAGCATCCAGATGACAATTCAATTGCCTCTCGAACGCCAATTCTAGGGGGATCTGACATCCTCTTCTGGTTTTACATGTGCCTGCACATGTAGTGGCGTGCATGCATACATGCAGACAAACACTCACATGTACCAAGTGAAAGTAAGTACATCTTTTTACAAAGCACAAAAATGTCTAGTAATTTTGAATTTCAGAAAAACAGTCAGTGACTTTCCTTACATTGTTTTTGATATGTATTTATGGATAAGCAGAAATTGATACTAATTCGAAGTTTAAATTTAAATTGTGTCCTTTACGGCTGTAACCCTATGAGCAGCAGTGTATTGCAACCCACAGTCAGGGGGTCTGCTAAGAGGTAGGCTCCCAATCAGTCCTGCTCTCTCACACAACCCTGTGATGCTGATGAAAATGCTGCTTTGAAAACACATCTCAGGGCTGTGCATGCTTGAAGTTCTAATGTCGTAACCATTATGAACGGCCTTTGAAAGAAGCTCAGACTCATTAAAGGATAGAACTGAGGTACTTTGCCTCAATCAATGAGTCTCATTCTGCAAATGAAAGTCCAGCCTGATAGCATTAATGGAAGGCAGCTGTGGATCCTGATGTTCACATAATAGCAAACAGGATGGAAGGATGTTAGTTCCTGGACTTGATTACATTAATATAATGGTTGTAAGTATGCAGACATATTATAAAGAGAAACAATTTGGGGGGAAAGATGAATCAATTTTAAGAAGCTTTTATATTTATGTTTAGTATATGCAGATCAATATGCATTAAAATAATTATGTGAGATACATAAAGGTACACAGTATACACTAAGAAGCCTTTTACTACCTGCTACTAAGAGACTTAAAACTGGTATGCAATTGCTCCCTAATTAGAAATGAATGCTTCTTTGCTTATGATCTTGGACTTAGAATGTCTGTGTGGTTTTAATTGTATAAGTACATTTATGTGTATAATTTACATGGTTTCCTTTTGCTGAGAATGGTCTTATGTAGAATACGGTCCTGTATGGGTAACAAAAGCAGTAGGAAATAAACTGGGGAAACAAAAAGAAAGGAAAACTCCACACTCACAGAGTTGGAATGAATGCCCCAGAATTTGTTTCTTTGCTAATTCTATTCTATTTCTGTTAATGCACTCAAATGCCTCTAAATACTTCTATTTTATGGATTAAATAAAATCTATGATAATAGAACACTCACCTAGCATGCATGCAACCTTCGGTTCAATCCCAGTACCACAAAGAAAATGAACAAAACAAAAAAGAGAAAACCTTTGATTTTCCTTTCCCTGGTGTCTCACTGACAAACATGGTTTGCTTGCTCTGGAAACATGTAGCCATGTTTGCGAGGAGTAACTGGAAACCTAACTACATACTGAGTCTCTTTTCGTGGTGAAGGATTGCATTTGCACGTCTTTGCAATTAAGTATGGACTAAGTATAATGTATTTTATAGACACATTTGTTTGTGGTTGACTTCAAGGAAAATGCACTAGGTTAAATAGAGACCTTCTTACATTTAGTAATAATGCAAAAAACACAACACCCAATTTTTTACAAAATATTTTGCTTATCTCAACAAATCAAATCCCCTTAAACAGGCTTAAAGCAAACACACTTCCTGCAACGGCTGGGATAAAATGCGGTCGTGCCTGCTCTCCGTTTAGTCTCTCACTGCAACGTCATGTCTTTCCACGACTCTACACTGACTTTAGGTTTTTGATGTGGTTACAATAAATATTATATATTCATCTTCTCATGACTGCAACTTGTGCTGGATAGTTATATGCCAAGTTAATACAAGCTAAGGTTATCTGAGAGGAAAAAACACTAATTAAGAAAATGCCCCCATAAGGTCCAGCTGTAGGGCATTTTCTTAATTAGTGGTTGATGGCTGACAGCCCAGCCCATTGTGGGTGGTGTCATCTCTGGGCTGGTGGTCCTGGGTTCTGTAAGAAAACAGGCTGAACAAGCCTCAAGGATGAAGCCAGTAAGCAGCACTCTGCCATGGCCTCTGAATCAGCTCCTGCTTCTGGCTGCCTTCGATGATGAACAGTGCCATGGAAGCGTAAGCTGAATAAACTATTTCCTCCCCAGGTTGTTTTGGTCATGGTGTTTTGTCACAGCAATAAAAATCCTAACCAAGACAGTACCCATACTATAATATACCAAGGATTTATTATCGAACAAGCGAGAGCCTTGTTTCCTGGCATTTAGCATGGGCGATCTCTCAAAGCTAGAAAACGATTTGCGTAGGAACACGGAAAGAGAGGAACTGGTATTTCGTTTCTCCATTTAGAATTCTCGCAGTTGATCCCGTTCATTTGGAGTGGTGTATCAACCTAAATGTTTCATTGGTTCTGTTGCAGCTGAGACAAAGTCGTATCACTCTGAGCCAGACCCTGCGATGTGTCCATGATTGTTGAGTGGCTGAGTAACCCACAATCTTCAAGGCAGATGGGAGAAATGATGAAGTGCCTAAGAGAAAATGCAGACCACCCAGAGTCTAAGAAATGAAGCCGGACCTAAAAGTACTTGAAACCTAACCTCTGAGGAAAACAGAAGTTCAGCATAACTGGCTCTCCCCACGTTTTGTCCCCAGTGTCTGCTTCCTCAGTGACTGTGCTAGGTTTGCTCTTGTTGGTATAGACCATGGGAATTGAATTCTGAAATCTCCAGTGACCATGGAACACATTAAAAATCTATAATTCAATGAGCTTACCCTTCATTTTTGAGAAACTTTGCCATCAGGGCTTTAAACTCTAGTAATTTATTTCTCTCTTGTCTGTACCAAGCTGAGGAATTCTAGAAGCTGAAGTATAGATTTATTTGAATCAAGGGCTGTGTAGTAGCCTCTATCTATTCCACCTGAGAATACAAGTCTCAATTTAAAGCTAAAATTACAGAAGAATATGATTCTGATTTTCTTCCTCTGACTGCATTCATCACCAACACTCTTGTCCCGATTGTATTCTCCACTGCTAGTTACTTGACACTCTCTTGCTGAAGAGCTGGAAAATAGTATCTTATTGGTATACAACACTAAACTTATACCCTGTGTGATTTGGTTTGGACCAATAATTGTTCCTTCCTTCTTTTCCTTTCTTCCTTTACTCTCTTCCCAGTGTCTTACTATGTAGACCAGGCTGACTTTGAACTTGTGGTCATCTGCTTGATTGCTAGACATGGCACTAGGTATGGCCACTATGCATGGTTATATAATTTATATTTTGTTCTAATTATTTATTGAGTCTTGGATTCACAATAGAATTTTAAAACAGCTATTGTGGAAGATGTTTTTGATCTTTTGTCTATTCTGAGCTCACTGTACTGACCTTTGCTACTTTCTAGATCAATATTCTTATTTCATAATAATAAAACATGATTTTCCTAGGAATTGAGTGGTTTTGCATAATAAATTTTTTGATATAAATATTATTTTTATTGAAACATTTATTTTTAAAAGAAAACAAACTATCATTTTGCATTTTGCATACTAATACCAGTTTTTACTCCCTCCTCTCCTCCCATGGCAGACGCCATGAAGCTCTGGCCCAAGATGGCTATAGGTTAGAATCTTCCTGGTAAGCCACCACCTCGTGGTGCTACACACATTAATAGAAATGGGTTAATCAAGATGTGAGAGTTAACCAGTAAGAGGCTAGAGCTAATGGGCTAGGCAGTGTTTAAATGAATACAAGTTGTGTGTTGTTATTTCAGGTGTAAAGCTAGCCATGCAGGAGCTGGGCTTGACAAAAAGCAGGCCTGCTCGCCTCATCACTACACAGACTCACAAAGACAAACACAATATGAAGACTCTGTTTTCTTAGACATTTTCAGAAGGATAACATTGAGAAGCAGGTATGGAAGGTGGAGAGGAAGGTGGAGAGAGAAAGAGGAAGAGTCATAGTGGGGAGAAGTGCATGGATGGCAGGAACTTCCAGAAATCATCAGAGGAAAGAGTATGTATGGTCTAATAATCTCTGTAATCTTGTTTTGTTTTACTCTTGCGTATCTAGGTGCATCATCAAATCTTGTCAATTCTCTCTTCAAGTATGCTTGGAATTGAACAACTTTCATGCTACTGTCACCTCTGTACTGGATCAAGTCATCTCTGTCTATAATTGCAAACACATTCCAAATCTGTCTCTTGCCCCTGTCTTCCTCCAACTTATTCTCAACACAGCAGTGGTCAGGAAGATTGGGCACAAACTTAAGTTAGATCAGCCTGCCATTTCCTGAAAATCCCTATTTTAGTGCCTTCCCATCCTAAACTCAGACCTCGAGTCTTCTGTAAAGTACTAAAGTCATCCTCACATTAGCTAAAGCCTGGTGAACGTCAAAGCAACCCTGATTTTGGATTGGCAAGATGGCTCATTCGGTAAAGGTGCTTGCTTCCCAGCTTGATCATATGAGTTCCAGGACCCACATGATGGAAAAAAGAACCTACTCCTGTAAGTTGTTTCACAATCTTTCATGTACATGCACATACACACCACACACATGCACATAGGAGAAAGAACAAAGAGAGAAAGAATGAAAGAAGGAAAGATTAATTGATAGTGGGGTATGATTCTCAAAATGTGGATTCCATTTTTTGTTCTTGTATTATGACATCTGCTGACAGCGCCCTAGGCAATTGAGATGCACATTCAGGGGAGCAAATGACACCTGCCCTCCATTGTCTGCCCAGTTTCTTCCTCCTTTTATCTTTCCTTCCATCTTACCCTCTCCTCTTTTTTTTTTCCAGTCCTCAGTAACCTCTGAGTACAGAGGTTTCCTGATTCTTCCTCAAACACCACAGCTGTAAGCCCAGCACAGTCTCTGAGCTAGCTAATGCTCTTTCCAAGTATTCAGATGGAATATCGTGAACCTCTTTCAGATCTTTAAATCCTTTGCATAGGGATTCCTGGAAAATTAGGAGGGGCAGGGCTTTGATTAGCCTCTCATCATTTCTTTCTTTCCTGAACCAAACTATTCAAGATTGACCAGATTGCATTTCACTCACAGAAAAATAACATGCCATATGATAATTTAGCCTTTATAAACCTTGGAAGCTGAGATTGCGAGGTAACTGGTCTAAAAGGCTGCTGACAGAGTCAGAGGCGAGACTGATGAGCTTTCTGAAGATGTGCTCAGAGCTGTCTTACTTAGAAAAGGTCATTTGAAGATGGAAGTAACTTCACAAACACATGTAGAGGCAAGGAATGTATATAGAAACTCTGATAATATCTGGGGTCTTCTCTAGCACAAATATGTAATTCTATTCTTTTAAACTAATGCTCATAGAGAAACGTAAGTATTCATTATATAAAAAACACTCAAGGAATGACTTTGGATGGGTTTAGCTGCTTAATTCACTGTAATCCAATTGATACCCACCGAATTTTATCAAATAACCATGTAATATAAATAAATTGCATGCTCTTCTTGTAAAAGGGAGGTTCGAGGCCCTTTGGTCTCACTCTTCAAAATATATCACAACCCCAAGAATACCACCCATCCAAACCTTTGAGACTTGATTTATTGAATAACATCATCTCTGTAATTAGGATGGTGTGGTTTATTCATACGGCATAAAAATAATTATTTTAGAATGCACATGACCCCTGGGAAAGATCCACTTTAAGCCGGACGGATTGCTCATGCATATTTCAGCAGAAGAGTTTTTAAAGTGCTTGGTACCTAATGGATGCTCAACAAGTCTTTGGAGAATGAGTAAATGGATGTAGTAAGTGGATGGGTGGGGGGTTACAGATGTGGGCTCTGTCCTCATAGATCTGGCCTGTGTCTGTGATTAAGTCTTAGAAGACAGAACAAAGAGCAGGCTTGGAAGAGTGGAGTAACCTGGAGGGATTGCTGCATGTCTGGGGATGATAAATTTTTGTATTTGTATACATGGCTGACTGTGTGTGTAGATGAGCTCAGAATGACCCACGAAAGACCTCACCCAACATTCAGCAGATCCAGAGAGACCAGCACAGCTCAGAAGACTATTGTCACATACCATCTCTCAAGAACTGCCCGTGTTTCCTTCTGCTCCCCTACTTAAGACCTTGCTGGAAACTTAGAAACACCAAACACAACTGGAGGTTCTCCCTCCTACTCCAGGCCCCTGTGGTAGGAAGGGAGAAGCTTCAGCTTTAATTCAGGTTTGAACTTTTGATTTATGACTGAAATAAAATGTTTTGTGATTTAAAGTAACTCTAGGACTTTTTTATTACCTAAGAGTGCCCAGAAAAAGTAATGGGGCTGTGCAAATGTTCAACTGGAGGCAATGGCAGTACTAACCCAACAGAATAAATTTGAAGAGACAGTGTGAAATAAAAATGAAGTTGTTTATAATTCTGCCCTGTGAGTCATGCTTGTTCCGTGTGTCTACCTCACAGCCTGCGCTGATTAGTATGATATCGATTCTCATGTCAGCCTGGAAATGTTTCTGTAGCCCATCAACCACATTTTTAGTTGGGGCTGAAATTTTCAGTGAGCTTTATTTGAAGCCAGCATGAAATTATTAAACGGGGTTAATTTTTTTTTTCTCATCTTTAAATAGAGAACTCTTTTGGCCTTCTTTGCCTAGGGTAGTTGAAGGTTATGGTTAATCCAATCTCTGTTGTTAGTGGAGACAGTTCTACCAGCACCAGGCTCCAAGCACCCCTTTTTTTTTTGTAGTCATGTGGTCACATAAAGAACAGCTCATGCTGCTTTGACCTGGGCGTTTTAAAGCCACCAAGGGGCTGTTTTTATTGGACTATATTTTTTCTTGATAGAGCTATAGCAGTGAATGGACAAAACTGTGACTTTCCTAGGAAAAATGGCAACTTCGCTTTTCTAAGATTAATTGTTAGCTTGAAATTCAGGGCAGCATAATATAGCATTTGTTTGTAACAGATACAGTTTCAGTCCTGAACGGTTGTCACGGAAGCTGGCAAATGGCCCTTCCCTGTCCTCATGGCTCAGACTTTCCAAAGCGTCTTGATGTATTGAGATCTGCAGCCCTCTGAGCTGGAAGATAAGGGCTGTCTTGTGTTTCTTTTATTTCTCAGACAGCAGCCGGGCATGGCGCTCCGCACACAATAAGTGTCAAAGAAAGCTATTGACTGAATGTCTGGCTGTTTCCGTCATTTAGAATGCATATCGTTGCCTATTGTTCACATTTGAAACCCAGCAGCATCAGCACCAAGGCTCTGTGGTTTCCCTGCCACATTCCTTTCCCAGCGTCGCCTCATTTAGACTCATTATTAGGCAGAGCATCCTCTCTATTTTGACAGTTAAGATGGAAGAAATTGAAATTTCAAAAAATTAAAAATTAAAATTAATTAAAAAAAAGGTAAAGGATAGACTCACAAGAGGAGTGCTCAGGCCCATTGAAAGTTACCCCCAAATCCTAGTGTCTAACGTCTTTAACTTAAAAGATTTCCCGTTTTGCCAAAGCACAAATTACGTGATTCCCTGTTTTCTTCCAGAA